TCTCTCTCTCTCTCTCTCTCTCTCTCTCTCTCTCTCTCTCTCTCTCTCTCTCTCTCTCTCTCTCTCTCTCTCTCTGCGTGTGCGGGCTCCTCATGGTGCCAGATTCTCCTGCCTCCAATGCCTTGTAGAGCAGCGCTCCAGCCGACGGGGGCAGGCAACTCGTTTGTAGTGTCGACTAGTCTTGGCCTGCCTCAGTTCGCCTCCTCATGTGGCTAAGATTTCCCTATCTGGATGGCATAGATTTGCTGTTGGCCAGAGCATGCCTGGATCCATTGGGCCTTGGAAACTTCTGGAATAATGCAGACAGCCTTTGATGTGCATCAGATCTGCAGAGGTGGTCGACTTCTGAGAAATCTCTGACTCTTTGACTGCTTTTCCCGAGTTGGGCCTTACTCCTGATTTTCCTAAAGTCAACTACCTTTCCCTTGGGGGATGGGTTGCCTATACTGACCCTTGAACCGGTGCCTGTTGACCAAAGGACTTTTCTGAGACCCGTCTGGGCCAGGTGATGTGACTTTTGGCCCCTGAATGTGGACTTAAACCCAAAGTTGCGACCCTGGACTATGTCTGTGCGGATTTTGACTGGGTTAGAGTGTGGCCCACTAGAATGGAGAACATACTCGAAGGGGGAACTAAATGAAAAGAGGTAGACTGGGCAACAGACCAATCCCAGAGGATTGTGTAATGAACCCAGTCTGTAAGACACTCGCCAGACGTCGAAATACAAGATAACTCAGATCTGAACAATGCCTCCAATAATCATGAATGTGATCTCTGATACAATGTATCGTTACCAGTAGACGAAGAGAGTGGAGGAAGAATAGACATATTAGAGGGTGGAAGAGATAATAACCATCAATGACCACCAAAAGAGTAGCCCAACATTTTCCACTCCTTCTCCGGGCTTCCCCTCGCCTCCACATCAGCAAACAGTATCCAGTAACGAGTCTTACAGGTTCTGATCACATCGAAGTGCCACTTGACACAGTTCTCTCGTGAAGACATTGAAGACAATCAACAGCGCACAGTATCGACATCAACCTCAGGTAAGTATCCCGATCATCGTCAATCATCCACAGATCCCGATCTCCCTCTTTGTCGCGTCCAGTCACCCAATGTACTATGTAGACAGTGTGGCCAATGCCACATCAGCGATGAAGACGGGTGGCATGTGCCACATCAGCAATGAAGACAAGTGGCATGCGCCACATCAGCAATGAAGACAAGTGGCATGCGCCACATCAGCAGAGGCTGGCGCTCAGCAGAGAAGGCGCCGGCATGCTGCCTCAGTCCCGCGTCGTCGTCCACAGTGCCTGCGCAAAGCCAGCGTCAAGCCAGCGTCCAGCTACCGTCAAGCCAGCGCCCAGCTAGCGTCGAGCCAGCGTCAAGTCAGCATAGAAAGACCGAATGTTGACTCCCTGGAGGCAGGGTCTTATGTGGTGATAGACCGAGTTGACCTGCCTCAGGTCTCCCACTTACGGTGACTCAGATTGACTCACAGCCGAGGGCCTGGATCGAATACAGTTGCAGACTTCCACTTGGTCCAAATGCTGTCTTGGTACCTGCATAAAAACAAGTGTGTGCGTCTGACCGGCGGCGAAGGCTGGGTCCATATTGACTTTGACTGTTGGGCCTCAGGCAGTTGACTGAAGTCAACTGTCGAGTGCTCAGGCCTTGGCACCACTTCGGGGCTCTTTTGCCCCTTAGGCCTGAGGCCAGGTTGTGGCCTGGCAAGGCCCTTAGACATTCCACAAGGCATATGAGGCGGGTCACTGCAGATGCACCCAGTAGCACTTAAATACATCAGACAAACTGACCCCATACAAAGAATCACAGAGGTCTTTCACAGTGACTGGGTACCATTGGGAGTCTCCCGGCTGGGAAAGTCTGCCCTGCCTTTTTTCACAATAAGTGGGCATGGGTGCTTTTTCCTTCCTTTCACCTTTTTCATGTAAAGTTCCTCTGCTTGCCAGGGATAAGTAACCAGACTGGTGTCCCCCAGAATAGAAGGGGTTGTGTGTTTATGTTAAGAAGAAGAAGAAGAAGAAGAAGAAGAAGAAGAAGAAGAAGAAGAAGAAGAAGAAGAAGAATTTCAAACTGCATAAACTTATGGACATAGATAAAACTGTAAGAGGGAAGGACGAAAGCCTCAGAAAGGTAAGGACTCCGGAGAGGATACAGGGAAGAACATCCGAAAGGTAGCCTCCCTGGCCTGAGCCTCGCCCCTTCTTTCCTTGGTGACCAGTATTTGTTCATAATCCACATATTACCCCGGATTTAGTGTGCCTTATGTGTTTTTTGAACTGTTTAGTTGCCAGCAACGCCCCACACTCTGTTCCTGTCTGTATGTGCTGCGCCACTGTTTTTGTAATTAGAAAAGAACCCTATCGGCACACACACATCCCAGGTAAACTGCTCTGGACCAGTCTTGACCACACAACACAGCTCTGGACTGGACCAGACCAGATGGAAGCCACTCTGGATGGCACACGTGTCCGACCACTGCAGGCGACAGCCAAGGTCTGGACCAGACTGTACTCCGCACTCCGGATAGCCCCGGTCTGCCACAAGTATGCCAAGGGCAATGAGAGACACTGCTGAGAGAGATGGAAGAGGTGGGGGAAAGGAAGATGCAGTAATGGAAGGGCAATAAGTGACAGATGTAGGAAAGATGGACGAGATGGTAGAGACAGATGGAGTGGTAGGTTAGGGCGAAAGTCGAGGGCGAGACAAATGGGAGAACATAGCGTTGGATTCCATTCACAGTTGGCAGCCATGCTTGAACAGTCCTGATTGCTCACGTGCTCTTGCTACAACGCATGTTGCTGTGTGCTGTAATGACCCGCCAAAAACACAGACTGAGATCACTGCCGATTTCTGGGATTTGTCACTGGAATGGATGCCTTGTTGTGATTCCCGCATTCTGCTGTGGTCCCAAGTCTGTGTGTGTGCGTGCCTGCTGGTTGCATGCCTGTCTGAATGCTCGCTGGTTGTGTGTGTGTGCGTGCTTGCCCGTCTGAGTGCTTGCCGGTGGGGTATGTGTGTGTTTGACCCGCAAGGGTACTTGTTGGTTGCAAGGCCCACCGGGCCGGTACTTACCTGTGGCCGTGACTCTGGAGGGTTGCAGGGGGGTAAAACACGCTGGTAGCGGGAGATACGCCCACGGCACTTAGAGCAGCTGGGGAAAACACTCAAGTAGCAGGTAGGCCGAGCAGAAGAAGACAAAAAGTTGGCATTTTTAGAGGTCCAGTAG